AAAGTACGAAGTCCTCCCAACCAACTTCATAAAAACAAATAAACAACCCAAGCCACCCTTCTCTTCAAAAAAAATTATGAATGACTAATTTGATGTATTTATGAGCAAACTAAAACTGAAGAGTGCTAAGGAAGTAGGAAAAGAGAAAAAGAAATTACAGTATGTCAGCTAGTTCATGCCCTGATACTATCTTTACCAACATTAAATGTGTAATTAAATAAAGTGTCTTTTAATGTTTTACATTGTGCTCAGTAATTTACATAAACTTAATCTACACCCGGGTGATGATGTAGATTTACATTTGATTGTCTTGTGCATAAACAAGGTTAGCTTTTAAAGAAGGTAAACTGTGCAATGGACAGTCACAAACAACTTATTACCTGCACAATATTGCTTTTTGAAGGCGACATCAGTCAATGTGGATACACACAAATAATGCATACTCTTTGCATTTGCTAACATCTATACGAGACACTAAAACTTTGTGATAAGGCCAAACCTTTTTTTTTTGTTTTTAATTTTAAAGCAAAAATATACCATAGTAAAAAAATGTGCTCACACCGTTTTGAGTCTTTAAGTGGAAAATAAATCTCTATCACACTAGAATAAAAGTCTCTCTATAAAATTTAAATACGGATCACTTCATTGCTATATCAAAAGGAAACGTCTGGCAATCATTTCCAGATGATCACAATAACAAGACACATTAAGAGGTCCTGTCGCCTCTTCCTTTGCGAAAAGATAAATGTTGAACACTTTCAATTGCTCTCACAGCGAGAGGAATACGTTCCTTGGTTGTGGATTTTGATTCTGTCAATGAAAAAGGTTTAGCCTTAGGAATGCTGGCTACATCTCAAAACCATAAGACTGATTTTTATAATTTATGATTCATGCAGCAAGAAGTCAATATGACACATACAGGTTAGAGTTCCATAGCATAAAAACACATCACTAGCAATGACATGCTCCGCTTGTGATCAACAGCCCTGTCTTGGCAGATTTCTGATATAAATGGTCTTTCTGGACGTTTTTTTCCTCTTTCTGATGCCTGCCTCTGAAGAAGCAAGCAGTCTGCTCAAGGATGATTTTGGACCTTGGAGGTCTAACTCTAACGTCTACGTTTTGGCAGAATGTAAACAAAAATCATTATCACGCACTGTGTATGTCATTATAAATATCATAACTTAACTGAGATTACACATGAAATGATTATCTAAATGCACGTGTTACTCAGGGCAAAACCATGAACGGTGACAATCAGGTTCGACAGGATGAATCTTGTAGATAAGACCCACATGTAGACCACAAAGCAAACATGAGAGTTACGTGGCACCATCAGAAACGAGACTCTGGACTGCACCGGGAAGTGCATGTTTGTTATCTCACTCAGAAGGCCAGTTACTACAAAGGGTGCTGACTGCAGTACTGATGTCTGCCGCTCGGATGGTCAATCCAATGGCTCAATCCTACAGTGGCTTGAGACCGCTGATATTGAAAAGCAAGTATGTCTTTGCAGAACTAAGGTCAGTATCCACCAGTAAGAGTCTGCAAGAGCATCCTCATACGATCGAGTTTTGCTCTCATGAACACATGCATCAGGAGTCATACTGAGGGAGTCAATGAAAGTCACGCAAAGTTAAGACCAGGAGGAGATCAGAGGCCATTAGATGTCAGTACTTCAAATCTGTCAAACTAAGAGCTTGGTCTTAGTTTTCAGTTGAGGAATACTACTAATCCCCCTCCATTAATCAGTGCCAGACTCCAACTTAATCTGAAAAGCTAGAAAAGTATGTTGACATATGTCCTTTCTGCTTAGAGCACTGCCGAACCTGTTACTCGCCTGGTTTTAGGCACTTCAGTCCATCTGCAATCACCTAAGGAAGGCGGCCTGATTTTCTGAACCCTGATTAAGCACAACTCCAGACTGCATCAGCATCGTGGGAAGTCAGGCCGTTAGCTCGAATGCCTAAATGCAGATTACGTGCCTGAATTCAGACATCTGTTTAAGCAGGCAGTTTTGAAACTTTTTAACTTGCCATGGTAGACCTTGGGGGACAAGTTCCTGTGTGAGCAATGATTTTTACAGCAGCCAGTGTCCAAAGTGTTAATTCTCAGCACTGTCTCAAACTGCAGTTCTGCCCAGGGCATTTCAAGTTCTTTCATCTCTTGCTGCTTCCCCAAGTCAACCCAGTAACTCTCACATTTTTTTCTAGCCTCTGATCTTTATTTATTTTGTGATCAATGGCAACCCCAAGTCTCAAAAGCCAGTTATGAGGGCCCCAATAGTTATGAGCTAAGTCACTGTTGGGTAGTGACTTCCCATCTCAATTATTAACATTTAGGCTACTGGTTTTCTTTATAGCCCAAAGAATAAGAATTGTTGACCTTAATGACAGACTGAACCTCTCAAGCAGCAGCACAACTCCAGGAACTGAAGTTCTGAAAAATGCAGGAAGCATCACAGACCTTGTAGTGAGATTATTGTGAATGATACTAGGAGAAATGTGATGTTTTTTCTCCTGGGTCTCATCCACAGCACAGTCAAAAGCTTGTACACTAACTCAAGCTCGCATTTAGCAAACAGGTGAGATACTTGCACTGGCTTCAGGAGGAACTCCATGCTCAGATCTGTGACAGAACAGAACTCCAAAAGACAGGCACATTTCTCTTTGCAAGCCGTTGCGGGTATAGATGAAAGTAATGGATCAGCTGGTTTTTTGCTTTCCCTCTCGGTTCCCTATCAAGCCACCCCCCAAAACAGATATCTAGCACTCTTTACTGACTATGGATGCCGCTCATCTGAGATTCTGCAGGAGTACATGGGAGTTCATCACATTGTCTGGTCTCTTGTTCCAAAAAGCTAGAACGTTTCTAACTCCTTGTCCCCAAGATGTAGTGCCCTACAAGGAATTTGGATAGAGACTGATGTTGTTAACACACATGCTTCAAGATGGAGCAAGCAGAGCCCTCAACAGAGGCTCTTCAACTTCAGCAAACATTTAAGAACAAATTTCCAATAGTCTGCCTTCCTTACTACCTGGAAAAAAAACCCTAAACACACCATTGTGTTTTATGTTCTCATAAAATTATGGGTACAAACCCCAAAGCGGTAACATCAGTGCTCACAACTCATCACAGGTACATATGGTATCAAAGAACAGGGAGAACAAGATCCACATCCCTG